TGATATGGCCGCTAAAGCCCAACCATCCTTTATGGAACTCAGCTTTTCTGCACCAATTGACACGACAACCTTCATCAGCCCAACCAAAAGTTTTGTTGCAATTGTTGTTTCCCCGATGGCACATCTGACACAAATTCAAGATACACAACCCACTCCAAATGTCAATACATTTGTTGTTTCACCTTTCTCTTCTCCGCTATCCAAATCCAAAAGGTCTCTATATCGCACTCAGGGGGAGAATCCTAAGAAGAAGAAGAAGATTGATGTCGTTGTTACCCTTATTACCCCTATGCCTGAGAATGAGCATTCATATGATTCTAGTGGCGAGTCTTCTTGTAATACTCGTAAAATAACAAAGTATATAGGTTCAAAACAAGGTTCACTGGAGAAGCTTATTGATGATTTCGTTGAACTTGAGGTTGAAGTCACGAGAGAAACAACTGCTTCTCGTCAAACTCGATGTCTTCGTACAGCTCGTTCTCATTCTGAGGGACAACCGCTTATGTCTGATGTTGTTGCTAAGAAAGATATCGATTATAACCTAAAAAATGCTTACTTGAACCATTTTTATTCGGTCTATTTTGAACGTTGTCATGGTCTGGTCTTTTCTCTTATGTCATTTAACCTTGAGCGCCCTATTCTCGTGTCTCATTTTGAGAAAGTGAGTTTTCTTTTTTTATTTAAAGCTTTTATTATTGAAAAGTATGTTCTGTCGGTCGGTCGTTTCTGTCCTAATCTATTTTCGCAGTTTTATGCAAATTTGTGTTCTGGAGTTAATAACGTTCGTTCTCCCCACAGCCATAAGGTTCTTGTTCGAAACCGCATCATTAATTTTTCCCATGGGGTTATCAATGCTTACTTTGGGTTCACAATCAACTCTATTGGTGATGTCCTCGATGATAACCTTGATGAAGTCAAGTACGCGTTAACTGGTGGACGATTGACTAAGTGGATCAACCCTAGTTTCTTTGCAAAAGTCTAACCAACCAAGCGAAACGCACTTAATAAGAAGATTGGTTCATAGAACTAGACTCGCACATCTCATAAACAACGTGTCACTCTTTCATAAGAAGGGCCATCATTCGTGTTTCGTCTTAAAAACAATTTGATGTTGGTTCATTCATTTTTTATGTTGTTGTGATTTTCGTTGGGATCTCCAAACCGCATAAGCTCTTTCCTTTTGCATGTGTCATCTTTCCCCCAGCACTCTGACTAAGGCTACGAGGTTCTGATTTTCATAAAGGCGTTCGATGTCTCCCTTTATTTGGAAAGTTTCCTGGTCCAGCAAATATTCATGTTTGGTGGTTTCGAAAAAAGTTTAGGTGATCACAGTCAGTACTACAAAGTGGTACTATGTGCTTTAAGACAATCTGTCCACGCGGATTCCCCGTGGCTTCGGCATCTAAATCGGAAAAATGGGGAACAAAGTGCAAGTGCAACCAAAGGGAAAGGAAAAGTAATGGTTCATCATGAAGAGCAAGATGAAGAGCAAGAGGAGTTGTTGGCCATTGAAGAGGTCATTGAGGAGGACCCCTAAGACGAGGAAGCTGTTGATGAAGAAAATGACAAATCTTGTGGTTCTGAGAATTGAACTCAAATTTTGTTGTCTTGTAACTAAATCACTTATTATGTTTTGTTTGGGTTGCGTATTGATGTGGTTGGGTGGTGGTGATTGACACCTCGGTGTTATTTGCTGTTTAGTTGTGTTTTAGGTGGATTTAAGTTACTACTTCTATGATACTTCTTTGTATATGTTTGCTTGGAGGTACTCTTGTGTAAAAGTGTTCTTCAGGAACAAAATCTCTGATGTTGGTTCTTCATGTGTTTCCTACTTCTGTTTGCTTTGATTTTGACTTATGCAGGATCACTTCACAAGGGGGTTTTCTATTTATTATGCTGAAGAGAGAGATTGTAATAAAATGTTCTCTTACATTAAATTAAAAATCCCAAATAAGTCCTTGATAGTATTTGGCAACACGAATAAGCACTTGAAGATCAAGGGAAGTCTCAATATTTCTAGATACATTCTATATATGTATTTATTAATTTTATTTGGGATGTGACACACACACGGAGTCAAGAATATTCACTTACCTAAGCGAGATGAGTGGCTATTTTAGAAAACGCGCTGAAGATTGTACAAAGGTATTTATTCACAAGCACTCTAGTGTTTACATAGTAATTCAATAAAAGAGAGAAACGAGTAGAGAGCTCATAGAGATTTTGTTGATTAGTTTCTTTTTAGTAATCAAATTAGAGTGTGATCTTCACTCTGATTTCAAGCACACTTTTTGTATTCACTTCTTTGGTGCTGGGGACGAGCACCATTCATTACTCGGAGGGATCCATTTAAGAAAGTCAAGTCCACATTGTGGTCAGAAAAGTAACTAGATAGGTGGAGTACAAAGTAGGTTAGGAAGAGGGAGTCTTTGCTTGTAAAATCCTCATTGTACGATTGGCCAAATATATGTTTAATGAAAGAGTTATGAGTAAGAGTGTGATGCTCTCCTGAAGGTTAATTTTATGTTTAATTGGCGTCCGCAATACATGTGAAAATCTATTGTTTACTGAGAACAAAAAAAAATTACTACTCACCAAATTTCAGCTTTTATGATCTTCTTCAATTAATTTTTCTTATAGGCATTCCTTTTAATTTTTTATGGGGAGAATACAAAACTATGTAAGATTTAATATATTAGAGATTATAACCAAGAGCTTTTATATATCAGTAGTAAGCCACACATAGTCCTTGTTGTATTACATATCTGCTCAATAGTGTTCCATAAATTTAGGTAGTCCATAAATTTGTATTTTATTTAGATCATTTAACTAAGTTTATAGAATAATCAAACAGGTAATAAAAATGCATAATAATGTATTACCCATAATAAATATATATAAAAATAATATTTCCAAACATTTAATTTACTAGAATATAATAAAATAAACATAATTAGGTATGCACTTTCTATTAATGAAAAAAATAAACAAAGTGTGTGCAAGTACCAATTTTTGCACCTTCAAGCCTACTTAATCCGTTTACTTGTCTAAAATTCTTTTTTGCTACACTAATTGTTCCCTTATAAAAAATAGTACGTTATGTTGGAATTTGTATTATTTTTGGGACATTACTCATAAAAAAATAGTATGTTTTGTTGCATATTTGTATCATTTTTGAGACATTAATCCCAAAAAATAACATACTTTTTTTGGGATTAATGCCCCAATAATGATACAAAGTGTATCATAATGGACTATTGTAACGCCTCGTTATTTTTATAAGGAAAAATCTCGAATTTTCGAAAGTCAAAGTAAATGTATCAAATTTATTTATTGCTTTGAAAACAATTTAACGGGCACTACCCAATCCATACACATATCATCCGGCTTAGTATCATCACAAGCCGTTGGGAACTCATTGCCCATTCTCAAGACATATACGAGACATAAATCACTCAGAAAAGTCACATAGACATATAATCCAAAGGATACAATATCAATGCTCAACAACAAGCCTCAATATAAAACCATATTGCTCAGAACAATATCCAATCTCAAGTCATACAATATAATTCAATTTCTTAATGACAAAACATAATAACAATAGCGAAAGGAAATAAACAATTCATAATATCCACACAATGACCCCACTCGCCCGTCTTGTGCCACAACCGCCAGCTCAACCTAAAAGGAGGGAAATACTGGGGGTGAGCAAACAACAAGCTCACCGTGGGAATACCATGAAGTATATCAGTATAATGACTTAAAATCATAATCGCATCATAAATGAAAATCACCTCACCTCTCTCCTATCTCACTCTATGCTCATATGTACACACTCTTGCACGGGACCCAGTCCGCTCTTGTCTATGCTCATATGCACACACTATTGTACGAGACTCCCTATCATATGCACACACTCTTGCATTGGGATCTAAACCGGCATGTCCTATACCTATATGTCCACACTCTTGCATTAGACTCACTCTGGCTATGCTCTATGCTCATATGCACACTCTTGCACTAGGGTTCAACTCAATAGATAAGTGGTTCACACGCATACATTGATTATTATGTCAAACAATTATAAATAATAACATACATGCTAAGGTTTATCAACACCCACCTGATACTCCAAAGGATGATGGTGAATGCACGTGCAAACAAATGCGAGGGCACGATTCCTCTTAATCTACAAATTAAATTTATTTATCTTATTACGGGCAGTGAAAACAGGCAAGGACAATTAAATACATAAAACATATAAGGCATACAAGAAAATTAAGGCAATTGAGACAATTAAAAACAAATAAGGCACATAAAATTTCAAACTCTTTGCAACTGGAACTACGCACCAAAAATCTCATAAAACACAGATGCTTTCAGCAAATAATAGGTACTCACTTCGCTCGTGGAGCAACCTTTAATAAATTTCATAAAATAAGGCAAATTGGCATACTAAAACCTGATTCCTTCTCTTATATTAAGGCACTTAAGCATGCATTTAAATCCCCTTAAAAGTGCATACGAAGTAACTCATCAGAAAAAGGCTCAACATTCTCATCTGAATTAAAGTCAAACAACAAATCACCTCATGCTCTCACATACCTTAAGCTTTAAGAAAACCAACACATTTCAAGCACTATACAACATGCCATTCAAATAAAGAGACTGCAGCAAAGCAAAAGCCATAAAATCCACAACGTAAGCCTCTCTATTTCTTTCTTAAAATTCGCATAAACGGCAATACATCCCATGATTGAAAATCATAATAACATGCTCAGCCTTTAAACAACCAAAAACCCATGGCAAAAATATACCAAATTCGAGCACCTCTTCTCTCAATTACTCAAGCCTGCGTCCTATTTTCAAAAACTGAATTAAACACATAGAAATTCACATACTCTCGACGGCGCCGGATTCGCCCAGCCGCACGAAGGTCGGAAAACGCGGTCGCTGAGCTGCTTTGCGCGTAGGTCACGGCCCTTCCTTCTTCCAGATCAGAATGGGGAATAGTTCCAGGAGTGGCCCAAGGGACAGATTTGATGAAGATTTGGAGAAGATGAGGGCGATTTGATGGGATGCTCAGCAGTGGTTCTCGCGAGTCCCCGTCGATGGCAGAGGCTGGGCTCGGCAAACGGTTGTTTCACGCGGCGATGCGAACGGTGGCTGGTGGTTAAGGGCTGGCGATAGGGTGAATTTTCTGTGAACTTACTGAGGGAGAATTGAGAGTGGCGGCTGATTGGAGGACCCCTTAAATAGGTGAAAAAATAGGGTTTGAAAGGGAGGGAGATGCGTGGGTGAGCTCGCCGGATTTCATGGAAGCTGTTAGCCCAGGGCTCCTTCGATGTGTAGCTGCCGTCGATCTGCTGGAAGTGACGAGGTGAAATATTTGGGCCGAACAAAATGGTAAGATGTTTGCGGAAATGGGCCAATACTTGAGCAGCTAATGAGCTGAAGCTCTGGGCTGATAATCAATGTTGTTATGCCACTGCTTGGGTTAAATAAAAGGAGTTGGGGCCGGAAGATATATTTACTTGGAAGGGCCGATCTTTCTTAATGAAAGGGCCGGTTAAAAAAAAATAATGCAACTTGAGGGTCGGTTTACACAATCATTTGGTCCGAGAAAATATAATTGAAGTGGGCTAAGTTCAAAATTCGAGAAATGAACAAAAGAACCGAAATTAATACTACGTGATTGGACCGAAATTTCCAAACGATTAAACTAATAACTAAATTTATTCTAAACTACGCCATACACAGGGGTGTAGCTAGGATTTTAAAATATCTGGGCCTAATGAATTGAAGCTGATATAAAGAATAAATTGATTGTCTTTCTTTTCTTCGTACATTGACCCTCTGTTATGATTGAAACCTATCAAGTTAACAAAAAATAGTAACTTAATCAAGCATTTGAATGATACAAGCATACTAAAAATTATAAAAAAAAAAATAATAATAATAATAAAAGAAAAAGAAAAGGGTAATTATCAAGAACGATTTGTGGGTTTTTGTACACTCTTATTATGAAGGCCAACTTGTACATAAATTTTCAAAACTGGTGACAAAACAAATAAAGCCACCGACCCACATCACATTCCCATTTCCTACAAACCATGGGAGAAAAACCAATTAAGGTTTCAATTCACGTATGGCATGGCAGAACAAAGAGAAACAAATCCACATCAATATAAAATTAACATAAAACATATTACAGAATAAAGATACAAACAGAAATGATTTTTTCTTTTTGTAAATCTGAAAATTAGAACTATATTTACAGATTGCATTCCCCACAAAAATAAAAGGATTAGCAACCAAATTAAACAATTGAACAAACAAATTTAATTCACATAATTCACACACCTGACACCACATTTCAATTCATAGCCAATAAACTTATAATCAATAAGTCGTTCAAGTTCAGTCGTCGTTACCTGACCTCGGAATCGCTCTCAATCCTGCGAACTTGCCGGCTGCCGCACGCCGCTCTATCCTGGAAGTACTCGCTTCCTCCATTCCTTGCAATCGCGGCACCCGTACACCGGTCTCGCAAGTCGCAGATCTCGCTTCCTCACCAGCCACCGCGGGTACCAGATGGAAGATGCGCCATTCACAAAGATTTGAGAGAACAGGTTGAGAGTAGAGGGCTTTGAAACTTGCGAGTACAAAATAACTTCAGATTAACAGAGGCATGAGGTTGAGAGGTCAGAGTCTAAATCCCGTCTATTATGTGTGAGAAGTGAAAAGCGTGTTAGTGTGTGAGAAGAGAAGTGAGAGACCGTAATTTTATCTTTTTGGGCTTTGTTGTCTTGTTGGGCTGATTAAAAATATGGGCTAACTAGAAAATCACATAGGCCTACTTAACAAAAAAATCTAAAAAATGTAAATTAATTTTTTTATTTTTTTTATTACCTGGGGCTGAAGTTCACCCTAGCCCATGGGTGACTCCGCCCCTGGCCATACACAACAATAAAATAAAAAAAAATAAAATCATCAACATAATAATACGAGAATAATGCAGTTAAATCATACAACGCAAAAACGAGATATACAATAATAATTGAGCAAGCAATATGAAATAAAGACAATTAATAATATAACAACAAGTAAATAAATAACAAAGTTCGGGATATCATATAAAACGAAAGAGGCGCTACAACTATTATTGATGAGATGAAAGTTAGTGTATCATAAAAGAAATCTGAACAAGTAAACGGACCAAAATTAAATTTTGGACAGTAGTAAGCATATACGATCAAATGCAATTTTAAAGCTTGTTGAAGATTTGAACGCAAACAATATTACCGTTGAATTTGATGTTTTTCCCTGCACTTAATGTTCGAGCATGCACATTTGAGATCATTCAAAAAAATATTTAGGTGTAACAATGTAGGATATAGACACAGACTAAAAAAATATATTCTCCAATGTAAATGTAAGTGGAGTGACTTCTGCTGATGCGGCAGTAAAAAAATAAGTCATAGTCTATCCTTAAGTATATTTTAGACTTAAGTATAGACTAGGGCTGAGCATGGGACTTGGAGAATTTTGAACCGTTTTGAAAACCAAACCAAAAACACTCCAAACCGAAAAATAACCGTTGACAATTTGACTTTTTCCGAACCGAACTTCACCGAACCAAAAAAGTAATTGGTACGGTTTTGGAAATTTCACAAATATCCATACCGAGAACCAAACTGTCTCATACCGTATCGAAAAGAACCGAAGAACCGAAAGTAAGAACCAAATTATAACATTAGATGTGTATTATTAATATATTTTATGTCAACTTTGATCCTATATAATTTGAGAATTTTTAAAATACAAATAAAATATAATCATAACAATTAAGCTTCACTGAAATTTACACTTAGTAATACTTCATCTACAATTGATTTGTTTTTTCTGTTACAAAAAAATTATTTAAAATTGTATGAAAGTTTACAGAATATTTTTTAAAGAAAACACTATACTATATTTTGTTTGGATTTTAAATTTTCAATATTAGTTGAACAAATTTAGTCTTAACTAATTTAGAGTTATTTTCTAAAGATTATTTCAAAATAAAATCTTTAATATGACGAAATATTGATGAATGTTGGTTTTTTTTAAAGCATATAAAAATTAAATAACTAAAATTTAGACTTACTTCTAAAGTTGATTTCAAAATAAAATCTTCAATATGATAAAGTATTGATGAATGCTGTTTATTTTTAAAGCATATAAAAATTGAAACACTAGGTAGTCATCAAAAAAATTTTTTTTAAAAAAAAAAATCTGCGAATATCCGAACCAATCATATCGAACCGAACTGTTCTGATAGTCCCGAATACCGAATCAAACCGAACCGTCTCGATTTTTTGGTATGGTTCTAGAGATCGAATTCAGTGATCTCCGAATTTTTGTTCGGTTCTGGAGATTTCTCAATCTCTGTACCGTACCAACCTATGTTCACCCCTAGTATAGACCCATCTATTTACATTGAAGTGAATTGTGTTTTTTTTTTTTACGATTATATGTATGTCTTCTAAGACTTGAATTTACCAAGTAAGACTCAAACCATTGTGTATACTAAGGAATTACAGAAAGTGGATACAAGAAATAGCCTACAAAACCACACTAGCTACTTTTCCTTATCAATTAAATGAATTGTTACATTGTAGTATTTTGTTTTACTGTCATATATAAGATAAATTTGCAAAGCACGGAGAAAATTCATTAAGTTGATTTTGGCAAATTCGCTCATCGTTTTTCGGCAGGTACTTATAGATTCCGCTGTTTTATCCCATACATTTGCAAAGCATGGAGAAGATTCATTAAGTTGATTTTGGCAAATTCGCTCATAGTTTTTCGGCAGATACTTAGATTCTAGCAACTTTTCATTGCTTGTTGATGTGGAGAGAAAACTGGTCACCGAGGAAAGGGTAGACATTTAGAGATAAGGATCTTAAATATATTGGCAAGTGTATATAACTTATATCAATAAGACAGTAGAAAAAGAGACTTCACCCACGAAAAGATAAAATAGATACTCCACCATTTTAGCAACGCACAAACACGTAGTACTAGTTTCTTGTAGTTGTAACTTTCTCACACAACCACACTAAAAATCAAGTACCCTTTTGCACTTTAAGAATCTAGTGGAAAAAATATAATTGGAAATGGACATTTTTTTTTCTTTTTTCTTTTTTTTTCTGCCATTTGATAATAATGAACATTTTTTATCAAAAGAAAAAAGAGGCTGGTCCTTGAATTTATTTTTTTCGCATGCACACACACGATAGATGTATGAGGTGGAATGTTGATATTGAAAGTTAATTTTAAGGCGACTTATGGTGGTACTAATGGTTTGTGAGTTGTCATTTTCAAGCATATGCTCTTTTCTTGCAGGTTATATTTTACAAAGCTTTCTCCACCGCAAAGATACTGGAAAATTTGTGGGCCAATTTAGTTCGAGGGCTACATGATATAGCCCAATTTAGTTAAATAGAAAATTTATCAAACTTTGTGTAAACAGTTCAACCTTTTGATATTTTTCATTTATTTTTTATTGGGAACATAGGTTCGGTCTCTAATCTATTGGGATTCTCAAGTCTATAATTTTGGGATATGATCAACATAAACAAGATTTTTTTCCCCAATGATAACTGCAAGTCTAAAATTATTGCTAAGTTAAAGCCTTTGTTACATAACTGCATATCTCCCGACTCAAACTCTTTTCTCCCTAATACAAATCCTAGATAATGTGATCATGTCTTGTGAATGTATTCATTTTTTCAATAGTAAAAGAAAAGGCAAAAACAATTTTATGGCTGTAAAATTGGACATGTCAAAAGCATATAATAGAGTAGAATGATCTTTTTTGGCCAAAGTTTGTAAGACCATGGGCTTCTCTGATAAATTCATTGCTTGGATAATAACTTGTGTTTATAGTTGTTCAGTTTCTTTTAATATTCATGGTCAGGTGCTAGGGTCAGTGGTCCCTTCTAGAGGGTTGAGACAAATGGACTATTTGTCCCCTTATCTCTTCATATTGTTGTCTGAAGCCCGGTCCAATCTTCTTGTTCAATCATGTCTTAGAGGTGAATTTAAGGGTCTCAAGTTAGTAAACATTGTCCATCTCTTAGTCATTTGTTTTTTGCTGATGATGTGATCATTTTTGGACAAGATTCTGTGAGTCAAGCTGTTTTCCTAAGGGATATTCGTATTCAGTATGAGTTTGTTTCTGTTTAGAAGGTCAACCTGCAAAAATCTGCTGTGTTTTTCTCTAAAAACTCTAATCCTCGTTGTGTCTCTGATATTTGTTCTATCCTGGGTAATCTTGCTTGTGTTTCCTCTGCAAAGCATTTAGGTCTTCCACTAGGGTTGGGAAATCCAAGAGAGAAACCTTTAAATATGTGAGTGATAAAGTTTCTCAAAGAATCTTGAACTGGAAGAACACATTTTTGAGTGAAGCAAGAAAAGAAGTGTTGATTAAAACTGTGCTGAATGCTCTCTCAATTTATGTTATGGCTTCTTAAAAAATACCTATTTCTGTATGTAATGATATATGTAGGATTATGGTTTCCTTTTGGTGGGGTAAACGTGAAAAGGGAAGAGATAGTATTCACTGGGCCTTCTGGGACAGACTAGCAGATAGGAAAGATTGTGGAGGGTTGGTTTTTAAAGACACGAGAGCTCTCAATGAGACTCTTATTGTAAAGCAGTTATGGAGACTCTTAACTTAACCTAACTAACTTAACCTAACTATCTTTTGAGCAAATTTTTAAAAGGGAGGTACATGTTTAATTCTAGCTTATTTGAGGTTCCAAAAAAGCATGGGGATTCTTGGCTTTGAAAGGGGTGGTTAGAGGCTAGGGAGAGTTTAGTGAGAGGGATTGGGTACCAGGTAGGTGATGGAGCTTCAATTGATATGTGGAATTCTCCTTGGATTCCTAATATTCCCAATTATAAGTCTACTAGTCATTTTGTGGGTGATAGAAGAAGATTTCTGAAAGTTAGGGAGTTGTTGTTTGAAGATGGGAAGACTTGGGATAGAGATCTTATAGAGAAAAGGTTTAGTGCCTTTAAGGCTGAGTATATTTTAAAAATCAAAGTGAGTCACTTGCAGAAAAAAGATCGGTTTATGTGGCATTTTGGGTCTAGAGGAACTATATCAGTCAAGTCAGTATACAACAACATTATTTCTTACAAGGCAGGTCTAAAGAATCAGGCTCAATCAAGCAGCAGGAGAGAGTTCATGAGGAAAATGTGGGAAAGAACCTGGAAACTACGTATACAACCCAAGGTTGAAAATTTATTGTGGAGAGTTTATCATGGATTCTTGGGTACCGAGACTCAACTGTCAAGAAGGGGTGTACATATTGATACCATCTAAAATTTCCTTTGGGGAAGATCAAGAAGATTCTGAACACTTAATCTACAAGTGCAGTAAAGCTAAGATTTGTTGGAAACTCCTTGGTATAGAGTGGACAACTTTTTAAGAGGACATAAGTTGATCAAGGATTGGTGGGAAGATGTATGTTGCAGCTCTCATTTAAGGCAGATGAAGGACAAAATTTTGATATCCTTATGTTTCTTGTGGAGATTATGGAAGGCTAGGAATAACAATCTCTTTAGAAATGAGCTTTCATTGAGCAGACAGTTGCGGATGGGGCTAAAAAGTATTGGTTGGAACTTCTTCAGTATGGTCCCTAATGTAACCGATAAATACTCCATGTCTCAACCTCTCCCCTATGCATGTTGGCTGATTTTGAGGTTCCTAAAGGAAGAGGAAAATCGTGTTCTTCATATAATTGAGAGTTCGGAAGTTTCGATTAATTTCCCACCAAGATTATTCGAAGTAGGTGTTAAGGTCATACATGAGAAGGCTTTTAGGTACAATTTAATCGAGCCTTTTATTTGTAAAATTTTTCTGCGACCCCACAATTACAGACACACCGGCCGGAACTCAGGAAACCTCCGGTGACTCGCCGGAATTTTCCCAGCACCACTAGTCGCGGCCGGCCCCAGCTGAGCCCAACTTCTGCTTCCAGTTGGCGAACAAAGTCCCATGGCGCATAGCCCGTTCTCGCATTTATATAACCTTCAAACTCGAACGAACCACGGACACATCAGGCGAGTAAACACATAAAGCGCAAGTACCACCTAATACTAGATATCGTTGGACGATGGAAAGTCGTTGTTGCCAAGAGAGCGTCATAGGACAACCTAGCAGATCTTTTTACAAAGAGCCTCCCAGCGAAAGTTTTCGATCGACATGTAGAAGGAATTGGAGTCAGGCATATGTCAACTAGATAGATTAGTCTTTGAGAATTAGATTTTAAAAGATATATTTAATAATAGCATAAAGCTTTATAGATTATAAATGGGAGATTGTTAGGGTATAATGAAAAAGCACGACTTTTAGTTTCCGACAATACCATTTTGAAAGAGAATTATGTTTTAGTCAAGTATGTATATTTGCAGTTGCTTATATATGCGAGCATCCTTTATTTTACATTTTAGATAATATGGTTCAATGTGTTGAACAGAAAGATCATATTTTCAATTACTTATAAAATATAAATACATGATTAATAGCCTAGACGAAATTGAACTATCTGTTGTGAAAGGCTGTAATGTTATTTTAATTCAGTTGACCATTAACTGATTAATTACGCAAGTACACTTTGGGTGTATTGAATGGACCAACAAAGGATAATATTATTTTATACTGACCAAGTAAATAATTTAGACCTCAGTAATTGATGTGTTCTTTTAACTCGTAAGACAATGAAAGGGCATATGTATTCAAGACTTATTTATTTTATTTACAAAGGGTTATTCCTGTTTTAATTAGGATGACATAATCGGTATTTTGATAAATGATTTTATTTACATGATGTACCGTTGAAATTATCCAAGTTCCCTATGTTGATGACGTCCCCGAAATGAGCTCAGGAAAGATTATTATGTTAAGCCTGCAGGCGGATTAATTTCCAACATAATGATTAAGAACTGAGTGGTACTAATTTCGAATAAAAAAAATTAATTAATCTTAATTATCAGTAATTAAATTAATTAATAGACGTTATATCTTAAACATAGGGAGGTAATTCAATCAATTTAATTATGTGAGGATCGAATTATTATAACTTGGAGCTAAATGTGGGAATCAATAATATTACTCTAGTGAAATATTTTATTATTTATTCAAATTAGGAATAGGAATTAAAAGGTCTTCTAAAATATTAACATATAGAAGGATTTAATGTCTTATAGAATGTTACCAAGTTGGAAGAAATAAAACTCTTCTTGAAGGTAACTAAGTTAAAAGGCATTAAAACTTTTAGAAGGTTAATAAGTTGGAAGACATAAGGATTTCTAAACCTATTTGGAGAAGCACATATTTAGCACCTCCTTAGGGTCCCTGTTGTAGCCTATAAATATACCAAGTCCCAACACCTCATAGACACATATATGTCATCTGATATTAGTCTTGAAAAAGAGGGAAGAGTCGAGAGAAAATATTAGGAGGTTTTAGGAGTTTCGTTTAGTCGCACCACCAAGACTATCCGAAGTAGGTGTAGAGGTAATGTAACTCCCCGTTAAGTTAATAAATAGAACCGATTCACTTTGCTCAACATTAAAGTAAAATTGGAAGTGTTTTTCATTAAATCGAGTTAGTCGACTAAATGCTATTAAATTCCTAAGTATTTTTATGTGACTTATATGATTTAAATGATAAGTTATAAGGATTAAATAGATGTTAATGTATAAACACGAAGGTCTATTTACATTAAGATTATATTCTAATTTATATTTGAAATATTCGGGTTTTCGATTATAGTCGGAATTTAAGT